ACAAGTGGGAACAATGATGTGAAGTCTACTGGTCTTGGATAGTATAGCGCAGAGATAGTAGAAGGAATTCAGACAGTCAACAAATAACTGATCATATGAATGTTGAGGTTGAAATTGGGCTGGGCCCTGTGCACATTTGATTGTTTCTCCTCCATTCAACCATAATCCAGAAAAATTAATTTCACCTAAGTTGCAGAAATATTGTTCATTAAATTAATATAACTGCATTAAGGAGAAGCTTGCTTTTGCTTGAGCTAATGATACACCTTGCTGTAAAGAAAGGAACACAAGTCACTTGGATGCATGTGAATAAGTATGTGTGAGAAGGTATGTAAACTGGGATTTAGACTGTGATACAATTGATTAATTTTTTCATAGCTTTCTATTTTAGGTAAATACTCCCAAGAAGAAATGAGCAATATGCCACCTGCATTTTTTATTTTTCATTGAGAAAGTCTAGATGCAAGTTGAAGTGAAAGGTCATGAACAAGCTTATTTGCAACCCTTAGTTGACCAATCATAGATTTACTTTGTCAGCCTATTCTTTAACACTTTTTCTCTGGAAGGTGTGGCAGAAGTTTTTTGAAGTCTGCAAAAAAAAAAAGTTTATAACTCTAGAATGCAAGATGTTAGAGACTTGCTCCTGTTTTAAAATTGAAGTATAAGGTCTCTATTTTATTGTGGAAAATTACGTAAAAATAGGAAAATTTTCAAAGGACGTAGTATTGCATCCACCGTCATCCATTGCTAGTTAGGGCCAGACATACATCCATCAGATTGAAAGTGTTAAAGCCCCCATGGTCACAGATCTTTGAGTAGTCAGCAAGCAAGAATTCTATGCTATTCTCTGATAAGCCCATATGTGACAAATCTCCATGTCTATTTATGCATTTTGCGATTTAAGAGATCATGGGTGATAAATAGATATCCAAAATAATAGAGCTCTCAACACTTCAAATGTCTCCAAGTCTGCCTTCATGATATTCTCTCTAATGATTCAAGGTTAAGAGATAGTCTTACATCAGAGAAAGCACCCAACTTGCCTAATTATCCTCATTTCATACCATTGCACCCCTCCACTGTTTTGATGTTCATCCACAAGTGTGGATGCCAGACTACAGAACAGTACCCTCAGATTGATTTGACTTTACCTCTTATACTTGACCTTGCCTCATATAAATTTGGAGCTACCGCTTTGTCTCATTTGACTAACTCCATCACAAACATTTCTCAGTGCCTCTGTATTTGGAGGTTACTCTTGATGCCTCTTCTTAATGTTGACTCAAGCTTGTTGAAAACTTGAGTCTCAAAAAAAGTGACACCCAAGCTCCTCTTCTTACCCTTATTTAACAAATTATCCTCACTCAATGAAGTGTGAGTTCCTTGAATTCCCTGACTCGACTCAGAACCTGGCTTTCTTTTGACACTACATTACATTGCCAAATGTCAAGGCCCACCCTTATGAATGTGTTTGACATGGTGTAACATCTCTGTTGTGATTTCCTGGCAGCAGGTATATACAGCTTACTGATAGTCATGCCTTAATTAACAGCACAATGGGAGCTCATTGCCTTTTTAAACAGGCATGGAAGCTGGGTAGCAGTTTATGGGAAAGTTTATTCAAGCAACTGTTAATTTTAGCCCTGTCTTGCATTGCAATGTGTACTGTTATGACACTATGTAAGACTCACAGAACCTCAGGTAACATTTTCCAGTCCAATGGGTGACATTTTCCTGTTCAGGCAGTCATTCATGCCTGAGGGCTCATTGGCAAATTTACTGAGGGCCTTGACTTCTGGCAAGATGACTTTTTATTCTATTCATTACTATTCATTGTTAGTGAATTAGTCAATCGCATGTTCATCTGGCATCAATTTGTTAATTCACTTCTAAGGGAATGTGCATAATTCAAATTAGTACCAACATAGGCTCAGGTCAAGTTAGGTTTGGCTTTGATTGACTTGAGTTGGTTCGTTCAGTTTGTTTATTTTGGTTTGGTTCATAATCTGCTTACAATAAAGTGAACCCTTTCTTGATGGGGGGCACCTCAACCGAGCCCCAAACAAGCCGGCTGGAATTAGCGCCAAGCCCTATCTTCATAACCCTTCCAGTTGCAGAACAGCTGGCCCATCTGCTAAATTCCCACCCCCTGTTCCCTTGGTCTTTGCACAGATTGTCTGGTAAATGATACTTCTTTGGTCAGTTACATTTTCATGGTCTGAAGACAGTGACAAGCTTTAGGATACTTGTCATTTGCTCCTTTTTCTAATTAAATAAAAGTGTAATTTTTCTCCAAGGAAGCTTTAGAAACTAAGTAACATTATTAGGGTTGTACCATTGCATCAGCAACTATTGGCCACTGGTACAGCACCATTGGTGCCATTGGCTGTAGGTAGATTTGCAAACTTCAGAAAATGCCCAGGTGAATATGGTTTGGTAAATGATTCTCAAAGGCAATAGAAAAAAGGGGGCTGTCACGATACATCGATTGATGTATCAATCCCACTATCAATAGCTGAAGGCATCAATGGCTTTATTACCCATCATGATGGTCACATCTCACCCCGATCGTATATGAGTGATGACAGAAGACAGAAAGAGGCTGCACCCTAATTTAGCAAGACACAGTGGAAGTCAAACCTCTGGCCGATTTCAATGAGAGATTTCTGAATCTGTTGATTGCTCTCCCTCTCTTTTTCCTCCATCCCCATGATGCATTGATGTACCATCAACAATTCAGATTGATGCCTTGACATTTTCAAAACAGCTATCTTGACAGCCCATGAGAAAATTATAACATGGCTTCATTACAGGCCTATTTGAAGAAGTATTTGATACTGTGATTCTTTGCTATTAATCTACAGCAGTGGTTCCCTAACCATGGGTTGCGACCCAAATCACAGTTGTGGGGGGTCTTCAGTAGGGTCACAAAGGGTCATCAAAAAATTAATTTTTTTTTTAATGCATTGCATTTCATTAAGAAGATATTTATGTACATATTTATTTTTCATCATAAGCCTGAGGGTTGAGAGGTCCTGTTGGTGGCCAATTTAGGGCTGCAGCAAAAAAAGTTTTGGAACCACTGATCTACAGGGTAATGTGAAAAAGTGAACCCATATCATAATTCACTTCATTGTCAAATTGCACAACTTGATGTTACATGCCAATAAATAGCTAAACACACTTGTCAGAAGCAATGCTTAATGTAACCAGCCTTCTTGATGCAAGTGAAACCTTCATTGATTATAGGTGTTGAAAGGTTTCTGCAACAGGCACTGCCATTTCTGCCAAAGCACAGATTTGAAGTGAGGGATGCCTTGAAGCTTCTGCTTCTACACCATCAACAAGTAACCCCAAATTCAATAATTGACTGGGTTGAGATCAGGCGAGTTAGCTGGTCATAGATCTGGTATCAGCTGTAACACCTCTTGCTGCAGGAACTGTAGTTGTGCAGTTTGATAATGAATAAAGTGAATTATAATTGAGGTTCACCTTTTTTCATGCCACCCTGTATGTCACAATTAGCATAGGCATTGGTTGATGGGTATGAGGTCATTATCCCCCATTGGCCAAAAGTGGCCTAGAGTCCTAAACATTATCCAACCTTTTCATGAAGCCATTCTCTCTACTTGAATATATCCAAGACCATTTTTGTTTTGTATGGATTGTACATAGACAGAGGCTCTGCATTAATGACTTGCACCTTGTTACAGGTATGGATGATGTGGTGGATGTGGATACAGATTGAACTTATAACAGTAATCATTGCCAGACAGCACACCTATTTGATATCCTAGTTCATGGAATCCATTCATCTCAGTCTATCTAAGGCCGGCCTCTCTATACTCAGAAAAACGCACCAAGTCACAAAGTATAAAGTAATATAAACCTTTACATGCTGAGCATTTCCATATTCAAACTGAGCATGTCAATGGAAAAATTTGAATTTTGCCATATTTGAAGAGCATGAAATCTTCCTTTCCATACCTATAAAAGGAAGATTCCATGCTGTTCAAATATAGTAACACTTGAATTTTTCCACATAAATATTGTGTTCAAATATGGCAAAATTAGCATTTTCCCACTTTCATGCTCTGTTCGAATTTGGAAACATTCAGTATCTAAGGGTATTTAAGCTTGAATATGCCCTACTGTTATATATTTGCCCAGCCTTGGCCTAAGTCTATTATTACTGCTTTTTTTATTTTTTTACCTCACATAATGTATGTAGGTTTGGTTTTAAAAAAAGTAGGTAATACTTTTCAGTTATAGGCTGCCTTTTGTTCTGTGATTGAAGGAATGGAGAAGCATGAATTTGCAAAAGTAATATTGTATTGAAAAGTAATATGGTGACAGCTATTACCTTCCATTGCCAGGAGTGACTAAGTTGTGAATTTAGGTGCCACTTCTGATTGCCACTGCTAATATTGACTTTTATACAAAGCATTGATGTTTTGTTGGACGAATTAGTGTAGTGACTTTTGGAATGTCAAAGCAGAATTTTGAAAAGTTGCTTTTAAAAATGTAGGAATATACAAGAGGAGGTGCAAAAGTAGTGAGACTTCATAATTATGTGGGCAAGACTTTATTTATACCTTTGTGCAAATATAGACCCGTTATTCCTCTAGGTAGTCTTCCTGCCTCAATGCACATTTTCCCCATCTATGGTTCCATTTATTAAAAGAAAGTCAACAAAAGAAAAATGGGCAATAAAAGTACGAGTCTCACTACTTTTGCACCCCCTCTTGTATATTCTCATTCTTGAAGATACCTGATGTGACATTACTTCTTGAAGCAGGAATAGCATGAGTAGCTATGTATGAGTGTATAGTTTGTGATAGCTACTGCATCATGTGTTGTGTGTTTCTTATTGGTTTGTTATTTTTTTCCTCTTGTTTGGAAGATTGTCTTAGAAGCCTTGAAAATTATATCAGATGACATGCAATGGTGGCTCATTCAGGTTGATGATTAACCATGTGGGATTATTCATGGTGTAATAGGAAGTGGAGGTGTACAAGTTGCCTGGAGAGAAGTTGGGTATGAACATCAAAGGAGGACGCCGAGGCCATCCAGGCAATCCCTTGAACCCTGAGGATGAAGGGATCTTTATCTCTAAAGTACATTCTGGTGGGGCTGCCCAGAAATGTGGGAAACTGAAGGTAAGGATACTACCTTGCCTTGATCCTACTTTATGATGGAGTTCATCATGTCTAAAATCAGACAAAAATAATCACTTGCTTCCCTTGCTCATAGGTGGGAATGCGGTTGATAGAAGTGAATGATATACCATTGTTGGGAGTTTATCACAGTGAAGCTGTTCAGGCTCTGCGAAATGCTGGTGACAGAATGAAATTGATAGTATGTGATGGTGAGTTGCTAATGATTTCTATTGCATTTTCCTAGTGGATAATATAAAATACAGCACATTTTTCACTTGTTTCATGGCAAGAGTGTAAAGCAGAAGTTGTAAGTTCTGTTTTCTTTGCTGTATCACAGGATATGATCCTCTTGAAGTTGAGAGACTGAGATATGAAGGGAAGTTGAGCTATGAATCGAAGTCTGCATCACAGAGCACATCTAGTTTGGATGCTTTGGAGAGTCCTAGCCCTGTTCTAACTCTGGAATCACCTACTTCCGTAAGCTGATTTATTTCTCATTTCCTGTTACTTGTCTTTGAATAAGAATTGTTCTAGTGCCATGCATTTGCAATGGATTGTCTGACAGTAGAATTAGTGAATGAACCAAAGGTTGTAAGTAGTTACATCTTGAAGAGCTCTAGAGAAGCTATTTTAATGCTGTCTATGGTATTGAGGTCTTCCAGAAAGTGGTAAAAGAAAGAATCATTTCACCTGCCTGTCTAGTAGCATAGGTTTATTCTCTCTTTTTTATTTATTATTATTTTTATAGCTATTTTAGCTTTTAGCTATTCAGGAAATCAATAAGTCTGTAAGGACCCCACTTCAAGATTATTTTTTTTCTTCATTGTCACTATGTTGAAGTTTCAAGATTAATGTTATGAGATCTCCAATTAGGAAGGAATGCATTGATCAAAGTATTTGGAAATTTGTGATAAATTGAATTTTTAGTACTGTCTATTATGTTATTCTGCCAGGATCAAGCAATGAAACTTTGAGACAGTGAGGTTTCAACAAATCAAAATTTGATTTAATGAGTTTCTCCTGTGGTTGGATGGCCAGATGTTAAAGTGAACATTGTAATCAAAATTTCAGCATAATTTGCAGAGGTTGCATTTATTGCATAGAGTAGCAAAAGTTACCCAAGGCCCATATCATGGTCCAGTTCGATCTCCAACTATTTAACTATTGTCCTATGTTTCCAAGAAGCATGAGGTGAAGGTTAAGGAATGAAAAGACAATGATAGTCCCTACTTCTAATTGATGTGCCTATATCTAACAACTACCAGAAACAGGAATGAGGATGTGTCCTCTCAACCCTTTTTATTTATTTTTCTTCATTTCCTTTCTTGAAAAGTAAAATATCAGCAGAATGTTGAGTGAGGTCTTGTGGATGTGAATGTTTGCTGCTGTGAGTGTTCCCTTCCTGGAGAATCCTACCATATTCTTTTCTTAAAGGTATCTGCAGTCTTAACTGCAACCTTGTCAGCTGACAACCCATTCTGCTTTTTCAGTTATTCATTTAGTGAAGAATCCCACCTCTGCACCAAGCATATGCAATATTAGATGGTGCTCCTATGTTGTAGAAAATGGATTTAGGAGAGTGAAGAAATTTTTTTGTTGTTCATCTTGCAAAAGTTTTGCTTGAAAATTTTCCCATTGAAGCCCTTCCTCAGCCATAAAATGAATTTTATCACAGAGTATATTTTACTGTGTTCACATTTTCATTTCCTCTTAATTCAATTCCTCTCAAGCTTTGTCTGCATGAAAATAAAAGTAATGCTATGACAGCTGTCACCAAAGGTAATATGTATTTGATGATACCTAATACAGAAGAAACTCACTGTAGAAAAGATCAGAAAAACATGGAAACAGAGAAGCTATTGTAATATCCCTATCTTCCTACTATAATATATCACACAGGCTTACTATCCTTTTTGAATTAGATTTGCTGTACAATTTAAGGTTTTAGTTTTAGTTCTTTTTTCTTTCCTATTGTTTTATGAGGGATAGGGATTAACATATTGTTTCATGATAGGATGTTAGCTGCCACAGATTTTGGCACTATATTGGGGGTTGCATTATATCAAATGACCCACAGTATGCTAGTGGTTATGATACCAAAATCTCTGAAGGCCTAATTGCCTAAATGGATGTGAAGGTTATATTGCAATCCTTATTCCCCTCTGATACTCTACAATATGACTTTGAATCACTTCTCTCAGTGGCAGCATATATGTAGCTGTTTAGTACTGGATAAGGTTCATGGCACATATGCTACTTGGCACAAAGTCAGGGAAAATTTATGTGGGAAAAAGCTTGTTTGTACAAATGGTGGTGTTGGCTGCTAGCAGCTTGTGAGGGTAGCACTATAATGGCAGAACACCTATGATAAGCTTATAGGGAAGATTTGTTCTGAGGGAAGAGTTGGTGATAAGTATGGGTTGTGGTGTGTTGAGGGATGACTGTATTTCTCCTACTATTTATGTGGAGGAGCTTGTACCTCAGAAAGTGGAAGATATGGCAATGGGGATGGGGAAAGGGTCTGGTTTTGTATATTTCAGACAATTGTAATGTATGAAATCATGGGGTAAGCCATGTTTGCCAGACTTGTTATTGTGACATAAAATTAATCTAATCTCATCACTGCGTCCTGGCACTTCACCCCGTATCTTCTATTTAACAGAACACGAGAGAACAACTTAATTAAGATTGCAATCTGATATCAATGACTATTCTTTGTGGTACATATTGCACATCCTTGCCAATGCAGGTGTTTTCAAGTGTAAGTGCTGGTGTTACGTCAAGCATCCCTCTGAGTCCCATGTCTCCAACTCTGATAGACACCCAAGTTGCTCAGCCCCAGACTCCTTCTTCAGCTTTGGTCCATCATCAATCCCCTGGTGCTGTTTCCACCACAAGTGGCAAAACTACTCCAGAAAAGGTTTGTTATCACAAATATGTAAATATCTCTTTGGTGTTTGGAGTTGATCCAATATACCTATTATGTTGGTAGACAACTGGAAATTTCTGAACAAGGGAAATTGAGATGAAAATTGTAGTAAGATGTAAATATTAACCAGGAACCAATTCCAATATCTCCAGCTAATTTTTGCTTGGAATGTATGGAATGCTTGGCCCATTATTGAAACCTTACATTGAGGATTTAAGAAATACCTACATGGTGACATGTCTGTTGTCTTCTTCAAACCTGAAAACTTACTGTGATTTGATTAAGTTCACTTTTTTCTGGCATGGCCTGGATTGGTCTGAACCAACTTTGGCATCTGAAGAACAAAGAGAGAAATTTAGTCTCATCAAAATAATTAAAAGAGCAAATGAGAGAAAGCCAGGATGCTGATAAACCTGGAGATATGTGGAACATGATCTAAACCATCCAGAATCATGGACTAGAGCAATATTGATCTTGGGCTATTGTAAGAAATTGAAAAGTTTGACTGGAATGGCAAAAAAATTTGTGCTTCAACCAAAACTAGGCTGTCCTGTCAGAAATGCATTGATAAGACCTCTCTAAGCCTTTCCCGTAATTCGGTAAATTATTGCTTGGCCTGTTTTGTAAAGAACACTACTGATATCAAAACCAAAGTTTCATGTTATTTTAGAGGTTGTTGACTGAATGAAGACATGTTCTGAATTCAATAAAAGCACTACTTCAATAACAAGATGAACATTTTTTTAAATCCAATATGAATCTAGTAAATTAATTTCAAACACCTTTTCTAATGATCTTGTTTTACTGCTTCAATTTTGCTCATTGCCAAGGGCTCCAAGGCAGCAGTTCCCAGGCTTCTTTGAACCATAACCCACTTGCTGACATTCAAAAAATTTTGTGACCCACCAGAATCCAGAATGAGATATTTTCAAAGTAATTATGACATGAAGAAAACTGATAGACCTTTTCTGCAGGACATGTTTTATCCTGAGCAGATGCAGATGTAGTGATTTTTTATGCAGGGAAAATGTACGCATCCCACAGTTTGGGAACTGCTGCTATAAGGGAGCTTTGCTTCCCCCCCCTGAACTCCTCAATAGACCATGTTGCAGGGAGCCTACATGGCTCCCAGACCCCCAGTGCATATCACAGACGCATTCTCCTGTCTGATGATATAGAAAAGAAAGCCATGGTCATTAGGTCACTAGAAGGCTGGGAAACTTTATCCACTCCTGTTGAATTTAGTCACATAAAATCTTTATAGAGTTGCTATTATTATTAGGAAGTCTCCTGGTTGCTTTTTTTGGGTATGGTTAAAATTCCTACAGACAAGGTCTAATTTTGAAATTACTCTTGTGGGAATTGAATTTGCACTGCAGGATTTTCTTGAAAGCAAAACTGCTATGGTCGAACTTGAATCGTCTGGTACTATTGCCAGGAATATCTTCATATATCTGGTTATAAGCAATTCCCAGCAGAATATTCCTTCAAGGTATATATTCCAGATGCCATTCCTTCAGACATCACCACATTGTCTTGATCACTTTTTTCAAGGTCATGGAGGCAGTGAGAGCTGCTGAACAATTGGTGACTTCTGCAGCTTCCACAAGCCCTGTACCACCGAAGACGCCTCCAACTTCCCGCAGTGATAGCTTCAAGACCACTACCATTGTGTTAGCAAAGCACACACTTGAGCCCACAACACCCACCTCTTCCTCCTCAGCACCAACCATTGCAGTGAGTCTCATTTCTCATGTCTATCTCCTATTGCTTTATGATGTACATGACTCTGTCATAGCCATATGGACTTAATTTCTGAGGTCTTCTGGGGATCTATTCATTCAATTGTATGGGTTATGTCTTCAGTGTACTAACTCCAGAAAGCTTTTTGATATGGACTATAGGGTTAAGCAGGCAAGGTGAGGGCTTTTGCATGATGATTGTAGTGGACTATTCTGCCACGTTTTACTTCCCTTCTAGTTTTCTTTCACCTGTTTCGTGACAATATTCAGATTTCTTCTTAGTGTCTTGTAATGTTTATTTGGGGCATTGAATCATTCACAAGAAAAATAGTCTGTGATGCATAAGTATATAACCTTGAATCATGATGCAGAAATAGAACAGGAATCTGGTTTTGCATGATGCCATTCCTCATTCAAAGGAGTGATTCCACTACTCCACTCAAATCATCCATACTGGTCAGGGCCCTGCACCATTAGGAAACTGAAATATATCAAGCCTCAATTTCTTAAATAAAAAGAACATGATTCATGGGAAGGCAATGGTGCTGATTTCTGCTTTTTGCTTTCGGCCTGTTTTGTCATTAACAGTCTATACTTGTCACGTGGCTTAACCATTTTGGTTGGGCTTGATACTTGATAGGGGGGCCAATGATGACTGTGTATGACTTGCCATTGAATATTTATTGGACCAAATCTAATGTGTCTTATCCTGAAATGTATTCCTTATACCATCTCACAAAGCTAAGTTATAAAATGTCAGTCAGCCCTCTTATCTAGAAAATCAATCTCCTGAGGTATTTTAATTTGGTGCAGTGCCAAAGCCAAGCAGGCATCTTTTGTCCTCTTGTGAACTGTAATTGCAGAGCATCCATTATCCTATCCTAACTGCTTACTGAAGGTCCAGTCTGTAATGATAAAAAAAAATAGCCTATCATGATGAAACCTCAAATTGGGTTATTCCCAAATATCAATATTCACATTGCAGCAAATATAAATGACCCAAGTCACAAGAATTTTACCTCATGAATCTCATAAGCTGGATAGTTTGAAAAGCTTTTTTAGAGTGCCACTTAGAACAGGAGTCATCGATACATATGTTAACTGTTTCAATATGTGTATGTGATGTGTCTAAGTATACTGTTAGGATCATCCTCATCTTGATTGGCTTAACCCGTAATACAGGTTTTTTTTTATTAGCACAACCCAAGAAAAATGGCATAACTTCCGACATAATGAAGCTACCAAGTTTAAATTTGGCATGAACTGAGATCCAACCATGCATGACTCATTTTTGGTGCAGTAGATGCTAGAATTGATCCCCTAGTTCTCAATGTAAAATTGAACACAACACTGTTAGCTATCTAAAGTATGGTATAGTACATCAACTGAAATGTCCAATTACTACTTTTGTTCTCCTTCAGCTGTGGAATGGTGTGAGTGTTATTTTGGTAAACAGTAACATTCAAGTAATCCCAAAAAAAAGTAATTGGGTTTTGTTAAATAAGGAGATCTTGGTAGCTATAGATCTTTTGATGTGTTTCTGTCTTCAAAGAACAACTGAAAGTCACCCAGGTTCAATGTCTTTGTGTTGATAAATTTATCAAAAATAGAAAAATCAAATCATCAATAATGGGCTTACTTGAGGGAATCTATTGGCCAAAACAACACTCACACCATTCCACAGGTAAGGGAGAAATTTGAAAGCAAAATTTATTACATTATTGCTCATATACTATGCTGTACTTTTGATAACTTGAAGTGTTGTGTTCAATTGTGCATAGAGATCAACAGGGATAAATTCCAGCATTTTGTTGCAATAAAAGTGAGTTGTGCATGGTTGGACCTTGGTTTGTGCCAAATTTAAACTTGCTAGTTTCATTGTGTAGGAAGTTATGCCATTTTTCTTGGGTTTCAGCATCAATCAAGCACCCTGTATATTCACTTGCTTGATAGGCAATTTCTACTTTCATGGGAGTTATAACATTGTGTATTTTTCATACTTTAAGTCTGATGATGCCTCTACTGGGCTTTGATCATTAGCATGCACATATACCTTATGTAGCAATATATGTGAGGAGTGCCCAATAAGTTCTTGGTTAATTGCTTTGGGAGAATTTGTTTTTTTAATACAGCAGTAATGGATAAAAAATGCTGTTCTGCTGTGAAGTTAGAAGGTTGTATCTATTCTGATAACTATTTGGTGCAACACTTGTTCTTCCACTTTTATATGGTTTGACTCATAGGCAAGCCTTGAAATTAAAGATAGAGATATTGTAGTTTGCTTGCCAGTTTGATCTATTTCAGCCCCATATCCATTGTAATGAAACTTTTTTAAATGTAATATCAGCTTATGGTGGAGTATTATATTAATATCATTAGTATTTATAATGGGTCAGTAACTGTGATGCACAGTGGGGATTTGGGATAGTTTCTGCTATAGTGAAGGGTGCTTTCATACATTGCATGTTGAGGGTTTCACTGAATGCCTAATTTGGGATTTCCTTTTCTCTATCCTTTTACCTTTACCACCTTATCATCCCCATTTACTTCTTGTACAGAGCACTTCAACATCCTAGCAGGGTGTAATCTTGAGACTGTCTGATGCAAAGCTTCATGTTATGATGGTGCTGAATGCATTTAGTGAGCATTGGTCACAACAGATAGAACTGGAAAGAACCATATTCAATTCATGATTGATATGAAGCATTGTTGTTTTGTACGTTTGGTATTTTTCTACTCCTGTGTGGCCTTTTCCCTGTTTGTAAAGGTGGCATTCTTCACTCTTGTTAGACCTTAGGTCAATACCATATATACAGTTTATGGAAGACAGACAGATCCAGACCTATGGGGGGCTGCATGCTGTCTCTCATAAAAAAAATTAATCATTCACAGATTATAGAAATGGAGGCTTTCTTGAGCAACGTTCTCTCATTTGGATTCCTAATGCTTGCCTTTGTGTAATTGTTTTTTGTTTCATTTCCTCTCACTGAGTGAAATCAACTGACAATAATTAATCAGTAATGATAGATCTACTGTGTCTCTCCTCAGTTGCTTCTTCATATTGTACGATTTTTCAAGGGCTCATATTAGGCATGATACACTTTATTGCACTTGATAGGTAGGCATTTTTTCTTCCATTTTTTTTTTTTTAGACTCCAAATATAATTTTTATTTGTTATTCATCAAAGGAACTTAGTAAAAGACACTCTTATCCTGGAATTTACATGAATTTCTATATGATGATATGCATCTCTCATCTTCTGAGAAGGAAGACAGGTTCAATATAACTTATGATTCATAGTTGTTTTTGCTGCTTTTTCATTAAAATGATAGGTAAGCCTGAATACAACAACCATTATCTGGTGATGAAGGATCATAAGGAGATTATGCAATCAGTAATAGATTAGTTATTCCTTTTATACACACTCATAATACTTATGCCATTGCAATACAAGCTGTATGTAGAAAGGTAGAGTATACCAGTGCATACCAAAGATTCTATCCCCAAAAGAATTCCTAGATGATTTCATTTCTGATCTTTGGAAGCAATTTTGTTCATTAATTATAAAATGTGCAGAAATGACTAACTTTTATAGAACTGACCAAAGTGCAACAAGGTGCATCTACCTTGGATATATACTAGCTACTTGGGGAGAGTGATCATAGCTGCAGGCAGGGCTGGAAATATCATTTCAAAGTTGTTAACCTGGTTGGAGAATGTTGCAATTCCTTGATCTTGTAGCCCAATTTGTTAGGCCAATAGAATTTTCCACTCACAGAGATTAACTGTGAATATTTGCTACAAATACATGTAGATATGGTTGATGGTATGCTGGTGATAACTGTTCATTGTTGCTATGCAGTGTCTTTGAATGAGGTACAAAAAGAGAAAATGGGCATCATGGGGGAATATGTAACCCTCCTAACATCTCTTTTGGCATCTTACGACCAACAACAACGATAACTTTTAATTTTGCTTTTCTCACCACAATTTCTGTTGCAATTGGTGACATTAGCAATCAGATTTTTCCAGTCCTGGCTACAGGTATTCAGATCTAATTTGTATTCATAAATATTTTGTGCAATCATGCTGGTCTTCTCATGCACAGTGTTTCTATGGCTGAAATTTTCCATATTTTATATTTATCTTATCTTGATTTATGTGTTATACATATTGGTAGTCAGTCTTTCTGTTTTCTGGTTTTGTTTTTATGCCAAAAATGCTTAGAACTCAGTTATATGTATGACTTGTATTTGGCTCATGAGAATTGAACAACATTGTCACCTTGTGAAAGGATGATGTATAGTTGAAGCCTTCCTCTCATGTTTTAGTGGAACAGGAGCATTGAAATTCTTTTTTTCACTGCAAGGAAATGTTGTGCCAAGTTCAGTCACCTCATGTTTTTTGGTGCTAGTACTTGTTTTATATGCATAAATTATGAAATAACTGAGTAAAGTTTTCCCACTTTGCTGGGTTTGGGATCTTGGAACCTGAATGTTATGCTTTGTCATGCCTCTCATGCACTATTATGGGCAATGGACGAAGCAAAAACAAAGAAATTATTTGATCTCATCGGTCAGAAGATTCATTTGCTAGCTTTAGCTTTAGTTTCTTACTCATATTATACACTTTCTTTAGATTTGTTTGTCTCACTTTCATTTAGATTATGCACTTCTCTAAGTTCATTTCTTAGGAGGCATATAAGTTGGTACATCCTTATGCAGTTAATACAGCAGTCAAACTTAATCCTGGGATGCTTAGTAATTGCAACTAATAAAAGGTGACTTTTCATAACTTACTCTTTTGCAAACATATTTCAGTTAGCTCTATTCCTTTTGGCCTAGATGACTATGGTCAGGCATGTTTTCAGCTGTTCCATTGAGCAGATAAACCTAGACCTAGGCCAGTATTAAATTTAAGTGCTAGCTGATGTTGCTCCATTTCTCCCCACTCTGTGCTAAGATGCTTTTGCCCCCTACTTCTGCTTGTGATTCCATATTGAATACATAACCTATTTTGTATGGAAAGGCTCTAGACTTCTCTTACCACACCATGTCCCCAGTCCTGATCTTGATACTTGTTATTACAAGTAATTTTCTAGATCTCAATCATGAACTGGGATGAAGACACTTGAAGTGCTCTGTATCAGGAATTTCCTCATCCTTGATAAAACTCCCTTGAAAGCATCATGGGAATTTGTGACTTGCATGATTCAAAGTTGCCTGCAAATTTACCATTTCATCTTAGCTTTATTTTGCATGTGTGTGTGAGTTTGGGGAGGGTGTGGGTGTGGGTTTTAACTTTCTGCCATATTTTGCATGCTTTGATTGATTGTTGGAGCATGATCAATTAATGAGCTGAAAAGAGAACTTCTTGAGACTTCAAACCATTGCAGCTAAAGTTGAAAGATCTGTGTGCTAATCCTGATAGAAAGAAAACATAAGGTGCCCTTATAGAAGAAGATAGAAGGTTTGAGGTCTGAAACTTAATTTGAAAATGAAGGAATCATGTTTTTTTGCTTCCAATCTCAAGTCGTTCTTCCATGAGAGAATACATTATCTCTAATAAATCAGTTCTCTAGTTCTGCCTTTTGTAGGAAGTTTTCTCAAATTTTTTTTAAGAGAGAGGCTGCTCTTTGGATGAGGAAGTGGGGAATGATTCTTAAATTTGCAGTCAGTGCCTAAGGACCTTCATAGTTGAGAAATTATGTGCATACTTTCTGATATACAAGTGTCCAGAAGCACAAAACCTTAAATTGACCATGTGGTCATCATGTGCAATCTCTAAATCTGGGGAAACTTCCCAATATAGGGAGTCAGCAGTAAATGGCTCTTTAGTGACATGAAGTGCATTAGTTCCAAGACCTTCTGCATCCATAGTCTCCTGTTACAGGTTCTCTCACCCATTCACTTAAACAATGAGGCATTTTGGAATTTGAACAGGCCTTAAAAAGGTGAATTTTAGATAGACAATTTGAAAGTAAAGAAACCTGATGGTCCAAGCTGTGCCGACAGCCATATAATAAGTGACACAATCTAGTGACACAATCACAGCCTGTGCCTCAGGAGAGTACCAGCTCATTTTTTCATTTGATCCTAATAATTTTATAAATAATTGTAGCCATGTCTGTGCATGTGTCCTTAACTAAAAAATTATATATATATGTCCAGTGCTTGGGGAAGATTAGGAGATGCCATATAAACACATGGTGCCTCTTAATTTGAAGTTTTGCTTGGAAAAGCTACAGTTATTCTTGACTGTGCACTTGGAGAATTAAACATGGTTTTTTTAAATAATTTCATGAACTGCAGAGTTCATTAACCTTGTTATTGACAAATGTGACTTTACTCCTTATCCTTCAATATCTAATACACAGTGTATTTGTATTTAAATCCAACCTTTGAGAACATCCAGCTGCCCACTCTCAAATCTGTAAGAAGTCATTTCAGTGCCCTAGGACAACTAATCACAAGGCATGGTTTTGTGCTTCCTGTTTAGTTCTGGTGGGATTATGTGTGTCCTTTACTCCATGCAGCTATGCGAGCCTTGTAGCATTCACTTGGCTCCGTGGGTGAGCAGTTGGATGTTTCCTATGTTGCATTTAAATATAAACACCATGAAGTTGAAAGCATTGAGTATCTCCTGACTGTTTCATCTATTCATGTTTGCTGTTGGAGAAAAAGAAATTCAATAGAAATTTTGAGTTTAAGCATGATTTTTGTTTTCAGAGATGTTTAATTTCTTGCCAGTTTTCCCCCCCTAATGTGTTCTTTTCCCCCATTTCTATTTTTCTACCTACCTGACCTTCCCAATTGCCGCATGTCTACATTATGTGTCTTGCTTGTCATGTGCATTCCTTTCTGTGATGACCCTGTTGCCTTGATGCAATGGTTGGTTTGCACATGTGATTTGTGTGTGCATCTGTACGTTTGTGTGAATGCGGCCAGACCCCAAGCAACCCTCCAACCCCATCCAGTACCTTGACCTATACCATCCAGCATTCTCCACTGGAGACTACAGAGACAGATGGAGATGGGTCTTCCACATCCATTGATCCTATTACATCCTCCAAGTTCCCAGGTGGCAAGGTTCGATTTCGCTTTGATGACCAGGCCATCACGCCAAAGTATGAAAGTCCTTTCTCTGTCTCCCTTCGGAGACCATATCAGGTGAGCTCATCTCTACCGAAGGAATCCATGTCGTGTAGTTTTTTTTTGTTTTTAGCAGTTTTTTGGTCCCCACTTTTTTCCTTTGAAGATGCAGGGCTTCATTTCAGAAATTGCACATTGGTCTACATTTAATGTTTTTGTTTGAAAATAAAGGTCATAAATGCTCGTTATTTTTGTTGAAAGTATTGAACTTTTGGTTAAAGTATAGCAAAAGAAGTGTAGCCTGTCAAACACACTGAGTTCTATGGTTCCGTTTACCATATTTGCATTCTTTATTTAAATTATTGCAATTATTGCAAATCAGAATTGCAATATTTAAATTATTTTTCATTTTGGCACAATAAAAGCACAAGAGAATTGTTGGGATGAAGAAAATTTTGATAATTTGTCATGTAGTTTCATTACTAGGATATCCAAATGGTCATGATCACAGATTAAAGAAACAGAAATCCTATAGAAAACTCCCAAGGGAAAAGACCCAAGGCAACAGCATTGGGTTTTCTGCAGGGAAGAAAAATAACTCTTCACCAAGTCACCATACTTCTAGTCTCAGAAATTGATGCTGAGACCCCTAAACTTTATTGTGGACACCTTCATTCAACCCTCAGACTGATCAAGCACGCATAACTAAGAGAAGAATTCACACAGTCACATGATGTGCCCCATTGGTTTTGTTATGAAAATAGAGTGTCACCTGTGTGCGATTGTCTCAGCTTCCCTTTTGCATCATACTCCCACATCAGGACTGTTTACTTTGGAGATATGGAGGTAAAGGAAAATTGTCTCAAATGGACTTTTCAGTGTTCCAATTTGGTTTCATACATATACCTCATTGTAAATAATGCATGGGATTCTCACATTATCCTTTTTTATCCCTGGTTCTAAATCTCTTGCATGATTTTTGCATGCAAACATGCATGAACAGGATAAAGTGAATGTTTGTGTGCCTGTTTGTTGTGTTTTGTGAGATGACAAAATAGAGTCATTGTTTCCATGTTGTCATTGAAAAGGGAAGCTTTGTTTCTTTAATCATGCAATGTTCATGTAGAGTGTGGCAGACACTCCAGCCCAGATGTCCTTCAGTGCCAAGAAGAAATTTTTTGAACAGGAAATTGAGCAGTCTGGGAAACCACCTCCAAAGCAAGGTTTCTATTATTACTGTAGCATCTTTTCATATTTGTGACAGCACAGTCACTCATGTACTTACCTTTGTTTCTCTTCCTAGAACGGCATTTCAGTTTCTTGAGTGCTGATGAACTAGCTAAGATGAAGCAGGAAGAAGGTCAGTGAATGGTTGAGAATCTTAGTGTGTTGGCTTGAAATATGCAATGTGACAATGTGATATGTACATACTTGTAACAGATAAGAAGATGGCTTCAATGACAGAGGAAGAATTGAAAAATCTGTCCCGCATGGGTGAGGATGCTGAAGAAGAGGTTGAGGACATGAGCTTACAGCTTGGCATTTCCCCAAACAAGTATAGTTATTCTCAATTGTATTTCCTGCAGTAAGCCTCATTCAACTAAATTCTTTTGACTGAGTCTAGCTTCTCCTCTTTCCATTGTTTTCAGCTTGAATGACACAGGCCGTGAGAGTGTATCAAGCCTCTCCAGTTTTGGAAGTGTTCACACTGCCAAGGCTGAAAAAAGACTACGTGAAAAACTCAGACAAGAAGTTCGTTTTTTTTTGCCATCTCTATATGATGAAAAATTGGCTATGACATCATGTTGCAACAAATGGATTACAGGGCGTTGACTTGGACCTTGAGGGGTTGAGTCCGGCTGAACAACGTAAGCTCCAGGCAGCAAAACGAGCTGCTTGGCGGGAAGCAAGGCTCCGATCCCTTGAACAAGATGCCCTTCAGGCTCAAGCAGTCATCAAGCATATGGCTGCCATTGGGGAACATGAGCACTCAGAGAGTGGGACACAAGGGATGACCAGTCCAACACAAACCACTGATGATCTGTCTGATCATGAGGATGATAACAACAATGAAGTTTGTTCTTTTTCATCTCTTTGGTCTGATGTGCTGTGAGGTTGCATTTTCTTTGTGATATTTTTGGGAACAATTCATTAACAGGAGGAAGAAGATGATGATGAAGTGAATGGGAATGCTGAGGCTGAAGAGACTAGTCCGTCATCCAGCACTGGACCTCCTACTGTGCATGATCCTGGCAAGAAGAAACGACGCAGGCATCGCAACAGATGAACACGCTTTTCTGCTGTCTTGTACTCCCTCTCACTCTTGTTTGAGTTTAATTGACAGGAGGTAAGAACCCAAAGTGGAAAGCAAGTGCATGCATGAGTGAATTAGGACTTGCTCTTGTTTAGAAGCATTCCATTCTTCACATTTGAAGACCTTGCCCAAAGACATTTCACCATGGAAGACACACCCCTCTTTTAACCATCATATTTTATCTGTTACTTTTTTTAAATGTCGTTTTGTGTTTTTTTTTAATGACCTGTTGTCTGCATAGCAAATCTCTGACTTTTCCTCTTTGTCATTTCATTTTCTTTGCTTTGAGGTGATTTTTAAGGGGAAAATTTTAGTATGTTTAATGGGATGGATCAGATGTGTTTATGCATTTTCATGAAATATGCTTGCCAAGCAACTTTTTCATCAATGTAGTCATGCTGATCAAGTATGAATATGATGAACAATCAGCAATTTGCATCTTGATTCTTTACACTTGTCCACTTTTGAACATCCCACCACTTCAATTGAGAAGCAATCATTTTCATGATGGGAGTACAGTATTTATTTTCTCAGCTGGTATTGCAGAAATCATCTGGAACTCTGAAGCTTGTGACTTAGTACCTTCCTCCTTAATTGCTTTTTATTTTCAGACCTGCATGCTTCTTTTGGAATTTTTTTGTTACATATGATTTTGACAAAGCTTTTACCATTTGTTTCGTGACTCAAATTTTTTTCATCTCTCTTCTGTTTTGTAGTCTGCTCAAATGTCTGTGTTCATTCTTCCTGCATTTTATGTATTTTTAGTTTGTGACTGAGCAGAAAACTATATTTGAAGCATTTTCTAGATCATGGATGGGAACCTGGGAGTTGGGACAATCAGGTTGTTGCTGGTAAAACAAACAATTGGTGAAACCTTCTGGACATGTTGCTGAGATGAACATTTTAATTTATTTTTAAGGGTTTTGTATAGAGAGAGCTCTGTGATTCCTAGGTCTGGAATTAGCAAGGCTATGATCAAAAGTCTATATTTTTTGCATTGGAAACCATTGATAAGGATGCCTCTTCTGATTCTTTGCCTATCACTTTCAACTCCACACAATTTAACAGGCAAAAATATCCACATTTTTATTGCTGCTTTGCACTGTGAATGTCAGTAATGTCCTATGCAGTGTATATCCCAATTTTGCATGAATAAAGTGTCTCCAATGTTTCTTTGTCTTCCAGTTTAGTCCACTTGTGTTGTTCTTGTAAGAACCATACTCATTACTGCTGGGAAATGATGAGGCAAATTCCAGCATTAAATATTAATTGGTACATGGAATCTTATCCTATACTCAACACTATCTGTTTAATTTCCAAACAATGTACTGTGGAAGAAAGAGGCATTTTTCAAGCCAAAACTCAGATTGCCAAGACAGGGATGAGGAACACCTACATGGCATTACATGGTTGAATAGAGCTTTAAAAAATGCAATACTTTTTTTTTACACAAATTCAAATAATTAACAATAGATTATGTATTAAAAATTAACCTTTCGTGAGCTCAAAAATTGTGGAAAAAGAACTCTGTATGCTTTCTCAGAAATAAAAAATTGCTTGTTTCTTTTGGTAAATGGTTAAATTTCACACAAAAAATGATTAATTTCCACTTTAAAAATGACCACCTGCTCTGCAGAAAGCACAATGCTTCTGCAGAATATGTTACTCTTGATTTTTCTTCTATATCATTCAGATATTTGTATTTAATTGTTTCTTAAGAAACTTGACAAATTGATTGCGGCATGGATGAAGTAACATCAGAACCTTACGTAAGGGGCTTATGACACTGGAACTGGATAGTTCTTATTGTCGCATTGCATGGTGAGAGTGTGGTTCCCCTTGTCAAGTAGGCCTGTTCCTTCCATAAATTAATAACGTCTCCTTTGCCGATGGGAAAAGAACTCTCTTCATTGAGAGATAAGGTGAGAAGTTGATTCATCTCAATAATGCTTCGCTTTCCATCCTAAGATTTCTCTACTCGTTCCTCCAAGAAACGTGAGAGGGAGAGATCGTCAATATGCAGAAAATGCTCCTTTCCCACACCATAAATATTCATAAGCATGCAAATTATGCTCCATAGCTACCTGGGGATTACTATCGCTGAACTCCTCAATGGTCATCCAAAGGGAATCTCCAATGGAACCAAAAAGACGGACTTCCAATAGTTCGTCCAAGGATTTTCCTTGGACAAGACATTTAGTCATCCAGGGGATGTCCGAGGAGGATATACATTGGATGTCCAAGTGTCCATGAGGGTATGTAGCGAACCCCAGGGGGTCACAAGATATGGGGCACGAATGCCTCGCTACATATGGGGATCAGACCCAATGTGGTCGGATGGTAATCAGGAAGGTTGCGTGTTCTTATAGATGGTAAATTAGCGAGGGAGAAGCGAAGTCTCAGATCTCTCTAGACTCCAAGTATGAAGAAAGGTACGTCCTTAGATTAGGTTAACAACTGTGCAGAATTTATTAGGATACTCAATAGGGGAGAAAGACCGGAAGGAGAAATACAGGGAGATACAGTCTCACGGTTGTAGCTGGGGCTCGCACGCACTTCGTCCTGATACGTGGACGATCGAATGTGTTGGTTCCTGGCCGCCGACCGTGATCCAGGTCGTCGGCTCGTGGTGAGTCCACAGCAGTTCGCTATACAGGCCGGCACGCAGTTCGGGGCTCACACTGCGGTTCACTGAGTTGACCGGCGGTGAGGGTCAGGCTGCGTGACTCGACACGCCACGTGTCGTCCGGCCGAAGGGTCCTGGCGCACTCACGCGCCCACGTGTTGTCCGGCCGAGGGTTCGTGACGGACTCCCGCGTGCTGTCCGACCGGAGGTTCAACACGGACTGCTGCGTGCTGTCCGACCGGAGGTTCAACACGGACTCGTGTCGGGCAGAGGTGAGGGCGTGAAGGGGCGAGAGGAGGTCCGCTATTACTATTCGGCGTAGTAACTCGGGGACTCTTCCCCTCTGCTCATCCATGGGCACGAGGGGGACTCCACAGGTATGTCTAATGGATTTATTTTGGATCAAAATGGCTACTTGGGTAGGGCTGTCACGATGTGTGTCTGTCCACGCCAAGTGTTCCGAGGATTATAGACGGAAATTTCTCTACATTACTCATTACTTTTGCCACAAAAGTTCATTTCTTTTCCCAGGAGGCATGAATGAAGGAGAATGTTACATTGAAAAATGAAAAAAAAATTAGTCATATGTATTATATACTAGCTATGGTCGCGCCTTCGTTGGTCCATTATCCAGAAATGTGATTAATTCATTAATTCATTTTCGAAGTGGTAAAAACTTTTAAAAAGTATTTCCCTGTCGAAATATGTACCATGAGGGGACATAACCAAGATTTTAATCGAAATTATTGCTCCGATGGATTATGGCATTTTCAGTCTCTGCCAAAGGCAAAATGTAGTCTTTATATGTTGATTCGTCATGTACAGTATAATAATAGTTAAATTCATTTTGTATATCGTAAATATTACTCCGGATATCACGTCCAAGACGGTGGACAGACCCATATGTCGATGCATCGATACCACTATCGATGGTTGGAGGTATCGATAGTTTTTTCGACCATCGCGATGTATCGGTAAAATGTTTGAAGGGGAAATGTCTCAATGGATTGAGATGAGTGCAGAACAGTACTTCCTTTCCCCATCGGGCGGGGAAAGGAAGAGGTATTTTGTTGCATTGCATTATTCTCAATAGCCACGATTTTAATTAAGTTAACGTTGTACTACAAAAACCATATATTCGTGTTTCCTTGCTCATGCCAACTTACCCAAAATAAGTCAGTTTCTGATTAAATGGAACCGGTGGAGGGGTGAAGGAGGGGGGAGGGGGCGCAACCGAATACCGGATGAAATACAGTCGCCCCTCGCGCGACCTGAAAAGTTCGCGCACCGGTGATCTAGGCGGCCACTCAAATGGACCATGTCGATCAGTTGTGGAAATGTTTCGGCAGATAAATTTCTCACTAGTCGGTGGCAGTGTGTAGGCGCACCATCTCGTTGCTAGAACATGGTGCCAACATCCAAGCAATCGTAAAATTGGTACAACCTGCAGTTGCAAAAGTTCCAAATAAGATTCTCCAATCACTGCGCCACCTGGGCAAAAAGAAAGGACCTACCACGCCATAACCCACGATGCATTAAATTTCTGAGTCACTACGTGGTGTGGGTTTTCACTTGTCCAGTAATAACAGTCATGTCGATTCACATGTCCATTGGGCATGAATTGCTCCATTTCTCCACATACGGCGTGCTTCAGATACATTGTTCTTAGCTTCCTATATGCAATGAATAACGCTTATCCTCTACTTCTGCGTGGTATCGATTCTGATGCTACGATGTACGACAACAGAACTATTCTACGATATATTGAATACTACGATGAGAACTGGCATAAAAAGCGGTATTTATGACGTCAAGGTGGAGAAATCATTCGAGCGGTCCTGAAACTCCATCCTCCTCGTGCCCGGAAAGGTCCATTTTATGACTCCACTTTGAGCGACTGTCGATATTTATTCAGATTACTCCAGTTCATGAAACTTTCAGAAAACAAATGTCGTGGTGTTTCCAACGTAATGTGAAAATATCACGAAGCTAGATCATATACAACGGATTTTATAAGGTGTCAAACACGACGCGTTTTTATTCTGCACAAGAATGTTTCACATTTCATTTTGAAATGAAAACTATATTTTCATTATTTATACAGGTAGAAATTAAATTACATTTCATCTGATAGACGAACTCAGAAAGTTTTTTTTGTTGAAGAACATGTTCACACTGTTCACCATTCCTTTGGATAATCTGTTTGTAACATACAGCAGTGTTTCCAATATTGCCCAGTGTTTCGGTTGTTATGCCTTTAAGCACTGTAACAGCGTAACTTGATTCTACCACTGATGCTACCGCCCATTTAATATATTTTGATTACCCTGAATATATGTCACTCATGAAGTGACATATATTCCAGTACCAGTATCAGTGACTGCAATCAAAATGATTTTATAATGAGATCGAAATAATTTTTTTTGTGCCTTTGCACAATTTGCCTTTTCTCGAGTTTCCACAATTTTGGCCACTAGTGTATATTTGTCGAATTTGTCGAATAGGGTGGTTAAAAGAAAATGCTCTACCGTTTTCTATGGGAGAAACTCAGTTTCATAAATGCAGCAAAAGTAAATAAATTCGATACTCAATCGATATTTGACAGTTACAAGGTGTTGAAATGCTTGCCAGCTTTTTTTCAGCACCCCTGCTTAAGTCGTGCGATGCTCATGCAGAGGCGAATTAAAGGTGCTTAGAGGCGGATCATTCCATCGCAAGTGATATGATGTGGTCGACCGTCTCAAAATTCAATGACTTTTTCAACTTTAACTTTTCAGGGGACTGTTGGATCCAACTGATACTTCACAGAGAGGTTCATGAGTCTAAAAGGTTTTTTTTTTTCACTTCCTCAATATGGCGCTGTAAGCAAAAGCAAACTTTTTTGTGCATAGGACGGTGTCACGGTGTGGCGGATTTCCTCCATCACTGCCATCTAGTGTCTCGCTTGGTGATACATGGAGAAGAACCGTCTGTACTGAGCGGCGGTGAGTTTGATTCAAGTTTTACTGACCTGTTACAGTGACTATAGGTGCGACGCTGACGGGTTGAACCTCACATGTGGTTTCAGTTCCTAGCCCTAGGCTTTATAGGCCCTACCTTTATCCTATCTGCTACGACCGCAAGCATTTCTTGCTCATAGGCCTAAGTCAATAGCCATAAGGACCTAAAATTTTTAAGCTTAAGACTGAAAAGGAAGCTAATCCTCATATACTCTTCCTCCTTGAATAGACCGTCTTCACCAATGACAATGACAATGAGTGATACACTTGCGATTTGTTACTTCATTAGACCAAGCCCCAATGTTGGGCTTGGGAACTCTAAGTTAGAGATGGGGTTATTAGGCCTTTTCCAGAGAATCTTGAGTTTCCTGTATCAGCTATGACAGGATTGCCAAGTTTGGAGAGAGCCAGAGTCACTGTTGTCTGACTCCACTTCTACTTTCTCAGGAACAGAAATGG